AACTCGATAAATATGGCAGGTACCGTTATTTGGAGAAATTGTCATCCATTCAGAACATAGATCCATATATGAGCTGACTGCAGTAAATTGGAGTGCTGATCCCGCATTGCTTTCTCATCCTCATACTGGGACATTGTCAACTATCTTGTTTATGGTATAAGCGCATATACCAGTGAACAATTTAAAAACTATAAATCTCTTAAAACCCACGGACATTTTACCAACGGCTGAGTACAGGATTTATTTACATTCCCACCGAAGGACACCGTAGTAACAGCAAAGATAGGTTTGCTGTATTGATGATGATGATAATGTCATGTTAAGGATGGTTTAGTTTAAAAAAATAATGAAAAACACAATTCTTCAACAACAGAATACCCCTGCATCGATACCTTACAAATGGCGGCTACGCCCCATAATGCACTTCGTGTATCACGAGTGTGACGTCACCTGACAAAGACCGATAAGGAAAATGATGGACACGATGTCCTGACAGGCTGGAATTCGTGCAACAAGCACAAACACAACAATTTACCATTATGGCATCTCTAAAACTCGATCTAAAACGTTCTCTGTCTCTCACTACCGCTCTAACCACAGCTGAACGCGAGCTCTTGTTTGCCTCGGCCTACGTCATATGACGCGTTGCTAGCGGGAAAGGCGTATTCCAGAGCCTTGCACATTTTCATCAAAATCTCTACATCAAATGAGATTTCATTAGTAATTTCTACATATGTGTTTTTAAAAGACCTCTTCAGACAATATCAAGTATTAATTCAGTTATAAATTCAACCTGCACGTTGCTCTTTAAGCAAAACGGATGACACACCTATCAGAATCTCAGGATAATATAAATAGGGCCACGGGTGATTATGTGCTTTGGAAAATGAATTCTAGTGGTGAGTTAAAAAGAGGATGCAGGAGAGGAAAAAAAATGATGGGGACGGGGTCAAAGGACATTTGTTCCTGATGAAATTACACATACAGTATAATTACAGTACACATAGCAGTACTTTATATGGGAGAACTTTCACTATTCTATGTACAGCAAATTCTGTAGCACACCTTGTACAATTCGTAATTGTCAAACTGGGCCCGTATTCATATTCTAAGAATCCTCTCAAAAAACTCTTAATTTTAAATCTTTTACGTATGGAGTCTTAGCTTAAGAGCGATTCGGGATCTGAGAGCAACTCTGAGTAAGGAAAAGACAAAAACTTTCATCTTAGTGAGGAGGAGGGGCTGACCCCGTTGCTATGTGACACAATCTTTTGGTTATCCGTTGGTTGTCCAAGAAGGAAAAAAAAGAGTGATTTTAAGTAGAAGGTCTATTCTAAGCCTTCACTTTGAAATTACATGCGTAATTTTTCCTATTTGACCGTTCTCATACACACACACACATTATATATGTGTATATAAATCCTTTTTTTTTTATTTACCATGCTGTTAATTTCCTATAAGGTATTTGATTGGCTTAGAATGATAAAAATTGTTCCACTCTTTCCAATTACACTGATTGCTGGCATGTCTATTTAAGTGGTGGTTTGAATGTTGGTTTTAATGTATCAAACATGGAATCAAAACCAAGAAGGACGAGAAAGCCCAACTGGACAGAGGAACAGTGTTTACTGTTAGCCCAGTTAGTGGATGAACACAAGGCCATTCTTAAAGGAAAATTCGGGCAGGATGTCACAGCACGGGGCAAGAAGCAGACGTGGGAGCGTATAGCACAAACTTTTAACGGTTCATTCCCCCTGCTTGTGAAGACTGCGAGAAACGCCGGTACGTGTTGCAATCAAAAGCCAGAGAGGAAATTGCAGCACACAAGCGGGAGTCATCACGCACAGGTGAGTGCTATAACACTTTTTTTTTTTTTATCGCTGGCAAACTTATCTTAAACAATTCTATGTATACTGCACATGTGGTCCACTGTATTGTTTTCTAGGGGGAGCACCTGCTAAACAGCTGTTCCAAGTAGCCCAAACCGTGTTCAACATCTTTGGTCACTCAGAAACAAGTATTACCGGTTTAAAGGAGGACACAGACAGCTCAATGATTCAGCTGTTGGAACTACAAAAATGGTCATTTAAAAAAACCAACAGCCAAGTAACACAATATAAAGACACATTTTTATTTAACATAGGCAAGGCCATTTCTCATATTTCTATCTGGCATTCTATGAACTGAAAAAAAAAAAAATTGGCCTAAATTTATTTTAAATAACAGAGCTTAAATGTTTTCTCCTTTCGGTAGCACAGAGCCTTCAGCAGAGGAATGGGGACCATCGACATCGCAGATGGGCAACCCTCAGCCCGCAGCGCCTCATTCCCTGCCTTCTGCTGCCACCGCAGCTGCTCCAACACCATCCCTGATAGACAAAAAACTGGAGATAGAGATGGATGTCCAAAAGCAGCAGAAAATAGTACTCCATGCATCTACAGGAGGAGCACTACAAACTAAAAATTGAGCTACTCAAAAATAAAACTAATAACAAATAAATAAAAAAGTGTGTCTTCATAATATCTTTCTAATGAAAATGTTGGCTAAGGTGTGTCTGTTTAGTTACGATTTTTATATTACATTCACTGTAAATGAGTAAACTGGGCTCTGTAAGGATTCCCACTTTGGGACAGATCCCTCCCTTGTGGAGGGTATTCTTCATCATCCTCTTCATCAGCCTGATTGTCCGTGGGAGGGTCTGCAATTTGTTTAGCTTAAGCACTGCACAGGCTGTTATCACTTTGCAGACATTTCCTGGTGCCAGTCGCACCTCTCCATGCAAAACGTGAAAGCGCCTCTTTAGTTGACCAATACCCCGCTCAACTACGGCTCGTGTTTTCTTGTGAGCTCTGTGAGTTAATGAAAATGAACAGAATTCAGTTGATATTTTCAAAACATAATGGGTAGGTTATTTATGGTAAGTAGAGTATAGCCTACAAATACTACTGCAACACATTTGTTGTTCTCTAATTTGAAGTCCACACACATTAATTGTATGTTGTCACTGTTACCTGTTGTAATTTAGCTGTGACCCCTGTTCAGGACGGAGGTAAGGTGTGAGGAGCCATGGTTTACAAGGATAACCACTGTCCCCTAACAAGTGGCAATTTGCTGGAATACGACGTCCTTCAAAAAGATGACTCAGGCCAGTATCCTAGCATCATGTGTTGCGCCGGGCCATTTTGCAACAATCCTATAATCTGCACTGAAAACAACTTGAACGTTTATGCTGTGGTACCTCTTTCTATTAACATAAACGTCCTCATATTCCGGCGGTGCAATAATTCGGATGTGGGTTCCATCAATTACTCCAACAACACCAGGGAAGCCTGCTATATTCATTAATGCAGTTTTTTGAGCCTGCAAGCTGGGAATGTCCAGTGGAAACGAAATGAACTGCGACACAATAAGAGGTTCTGAAAGTGCTGTATTTGTTTGTGTGACCACTCTGCTTACAGAAGGTTGTGACAGACCCAAATCATCACTGCTGCATTGTTGCATTTTCCCAGTTGCCAAATATCGTAATGTAGTGATTACTTTCATTTCTGGCGCTATGGCATTTCTGCGCTGTGTCGGAGATGTTAGCGTGTCTCTAATAAGATCAGTCACAAACATGATCCCTGCACGATCTAATCTATAGCGTCTTATTAACTCACTGTCATTCATTGTCTGCAACACATTTCTTCTCCCTCTTTGTCTTTCTGCCATTTTCTCCTCTGCTAAAGAAACTCTTAAATCCCCGTCCGTGCTCCTAACAATTTTGACCTTAAGACCTCTTTCAAGGGTTAAGATGCTTTCTGAATGACTTTTTTCTTTACTAGGATTTTTTCTTTAATTTTAAGAGTAAACCCCCACATTTCTAAGAATTTTCTTAGAATTTTGTCACTAGGAGCTACTCTTTTCATTAAGATTCTTTATGAATACGGGCCCTGATTTGTACCGAAGTACTTCTAACATCTTATATTTTTGCAGAACTGAGATGACTGCCGAGAAAGTCTGTTGTCAGAAGACTAAAAAAAACTTCTCTAGTATGGCAAATATAGTCATTATCAGTACTGCTATGCAATTTGGCCAAGGTTGCAGAATTTATTTTAAAAAAATATACTGTATTGCATTGCAATTCCAAGTTCATGTTCAATTCTTTGAAATTTTCTTTTCCAGTGCTTTTCATCTACTGCAAGATCGCTTTACAGTAGTGTAATAAAAATAAACTTTTCTTAAAGCTTTTATTGTTGAATTTCACTGTATCAGCACCCCTCTATTTATGTTGTATACTGTAATAGACATTGAGCAGTGAAATGATACCTGATTGTAAAAAAGGAGGTTTTTGTAACAGTGTTTTGAATTGATCTCACTAGTGTTTAAGACTATGATGTATTGCGTGTGTTTTTGTGGGCTTGTGTGTCATGTCTGGGGGCAAAGCTTGTTTTTTCAGCAAGATTGAATGGTTTTGAGTGGAGAGCTTCATTTTGACCTGAAAATAGGAAGTATGGGGAATTCGGTGAGAAGTTATGGATATGTGTTTAGAGTTTAGAGAAAAGAAGGCATCATTTCAAGAAATGTGTTAAAGCAATCAAGCAAAACCTGTAAAATTATATCAGTTAATGATATATGTTTTTTTAACTGAAAGTTTCATTGAAATCTGTAAAACCTAAAATGGTGGTACCATATTTTTTTCAGTAAATTTCTGGCAACCACAGCTGCCAGTTTTTTTTTTACCGTATCTTTTTTTACAATGTATAAATAATTCAGAAATTAAAAACAAGCTGTGTGTAGTATCTTGTTTTGTAAGAAATTTATTTTCAAATGTATTTTTGAATAACAAAAATGACAACAGTAAGTGACACTGAACGATTTGAAATTATTAAAAAATAATTTATGAATTAACTGAAAACTCTTATATCAAATCACAAATCAAATATCACAAATCAAAATAGATTAAAGTAAGGAGTCACTAAGCCCAACATAAGGCTATTGTCTTGTAATACATTTTTTAAACATTTCATATTTAAAATATAGCTACATGTAAAAATAAATCTTGCCATCTGTAAGTCTTGCTTAAATAAATTAGAAGTTACAACATATTCACACCTTATCATGGCTTTTAGCACCGCTTGCATTTGAACACAATAAAAAGAGCTGTTTGCAGTATGTAGTAGTGTGTATGGCTTGTCATTAAATAAGAACATAACTAGACTGTACTGCACCTCAAAACTGCTGTAGGCACCCATTCCCATTCAATGTGTCCCAAGGAGACCAATCGCTACTGTCGAGGAGCCCTGTTAGAGGCAAGTCCACTAAATTAGTGTCTGGTAAAAATGAAAGGTCCGAAAAGAGGTTGGGTTCAGGGACGAAGTTGAAATCTGAGGTAGAGGGTGCAGCTGTGGGTGGACCTACTGGAACACTAACTGATGGTCCATATGGACAGAGTTTAGTGCAGCGAGGTTCATGTTGCTCCAAAGCAGTGGTGTAGATTTGAAGCTCCTTCTTCAGCTCAGCGATTTCTTTTCGGAATGCGGCATTAGACTGCTCTAGATCTTGGAGTTCCTAAGTAAAAAAAATTAAACATTGAAAAACAAGAGTTTATAAACAGTACAATACTGAAATGCAGAAGTTACAAAGGGAACGAAAATGTGGAACAGTAAAATACAGAGTTAAAATAGATTTCACCTGAGCTGCTCTTCCCACATACAAAATTTCAGAGGAAAAACACAACAGACTATTTAAAAAAAAACAAAATAAACAATTCAGATTTCATGTTAATCTATGAAAGGTTGTGATGATTGGGTTGGGGAAAAGGGGAAAGTCCAAGATTTGCACATCATCTGAAGAGAAAATGAAAGTGAAAATGAAGGTAAAATAACTAGTCTGGCGCTAGCGCAACTAATCTGTATGCTGTCCCAGTCAAGTTTCCAAGAAATGCCTGCTTTGAACTGAAGTTGCGCAATAGCTACTAATGCTTTCTCTCTCCTCCACACACACACACACCCACACACACACCCACACAACATACTAATTATTAACAAACAAACACAAAAAATAACCTGTACAGAAACAAACACAGCTGCATTTTAATACACACCTTCTGCTGAAGGTTGTTATTATTATGAAACATTACTTTATAATTCCAAGTAATTATAAGGGTACAGATTATTTGTCTGAATTACAATAATAAAGAACAATATCATATATATTTGTGCGAGTAACATGAATGAAAAGATACATGCACAACAAATGTGAGGATTTGGAGATATCAAAAGATAACAAGTAACAAAGCCAAAGTTACACATTCAAAAGGGGAAATAGAGAGAGAGTGTGAAAGGTCGCAATATGCCACTGACCTCGTGCAGTACATCTGCCTTTTCTGTCTGTTTTCTTCGACTCTTGCGTGCTGCATCTCTGTTTTTCTCTTTGCGATGGTGCCCATGGCCATCTGACTGTGTGCTCTGAGGATATTCATCATCAGATCATGTATATATGAATTATAATATATCGATATTTATATATAGCCTAAATAAATATTTGTTTCAATATTTTATTGTTCGTAATTAGATATTAGGATATAAAAATAACCGCATGTGTGTGTGTGTGTGTGTGTGTGTGTGTGTGTGTGTGTGTGTGTGTGTGTGTGTGTGTGTTTTAACCATAATTATAAAATGAATATTATAAACAAATATTTATTTATAAATATTTTATTGCTTGTAATATGTATATGTAGTACATATTACAATTACATTAAATAAGTTAATTTATTACCTACCCAATCTTGAGGACTCTGAGAATCACTTTGCGAGAAAGGACTTCCCTGGTCAAAGTTATCCATGAAGGCAGCTGGCATCTCCAAGAACATGGATGCTCTCTTCGACAGTTGAATTAGAACAAAATGCTTGCATGTATACTTTCAGAATAAATCAGTCGTTGGTAATATTTCCGTATTATACAAAGTTCCTCGAATTGAAAAGCAAGCGCGTTAAAAGAATCCTGAGGCAGCTGTAGTCTGCAAAACTACATTGCCTGGTCATGATTTAAACTGCTCTGAGGTCTTTAATGTAAGCAGTGGGCGTTGGAATGAGCCAATAGCTCTGGCAATGAGGTGACGCAACAGAGGGGTGGACTAGTGTGTTTTCGGTTTCGAATTATTTTAAACGACCCGGTTAGCGGAGACTGGAGGTCATCGCTTCCCACACAGAAATGTCAGTAATTGGGTTGTACATTTCCCGCTCTACAGTTTACTGGGAATTCCTATCCGGAAGTCCAAACGGATGGAACTCTTTATGGGATAGTCAGGCTTTACTATGTGTGTAAGGCTAGGCTACTTTATTTCATTACTAAAATGAATGTGAATGAAATGAACGAAATGAAATGAATGAATGTCTAGTTTTAAGGTCTGTAAGAGGACAAACTTAGATTACAAGAGAAATTGTTAATGTGTAATGAGAACTTTTTAAATAATTTTTAAAAATGTGTGTGGTGATGGAAATGACAATGAATTAACGTGAATGTATAAACAGTAGCTATTTATTAGAAACATTTTTAAACTCTACACACTAATTAAACTCAATTCACAAAGTCATTAAACATAACCATGCCTGTTTTTAGTACTGCTGAGTTTGATGTATAAAACTGATTTGTCTCACAGATGAACGGTTACAGTGCATACTAAAATAAAAATATATAAAAATGAAATCAATTAATATTAAAGTAATATAATTTAGAAATAAAAAATATCATAATCCATCTATCCATCCATCTTCTTCCGCTTATCCGGGGCCGGGTCGCAGGGGCAGCAGTCTAACCAGAGACGCCCAGACATCCCTCTCCCTAGACACTTCCTCCAGCTCTTCCGGGGGAATACTGAGGCGTTCCCAGGCCAGCCAGGAGACATAATCCCTCCAGCATGTCCCTCCAGCATGTCCCTCCAGCATGTCCCCGGGAAGGTGTCCAGGAGGCATCCGAAACAGATGCCGGAGCCACCTCAGCTGGCCCCTCTCGATGTGGAGGAGAGGGGCCCCTCTACTCTGAGCTCCTCCCGAGTGACCGAGCTCCTCATCCTATCTCTAAGGGATCGCCCAGCCACCCTGCGGAGGAAGCTCATTTCGGCCGCCTGTATCCGGGATCTTGTCCTTTCGGTTATGACCCACAGCTCATGACCATAGGTGAGAGTAGATCGACCGGTAAATCGAGAGTTTCGCCTTGCAGCTCAGCTCCTTCTTCACCACGACACCAGCTCCTTCTTCACCATGACAGACCGCGTTACTGCAGAAGCTGCACCGATCCGTCTGTCAATCTCCCGTTCCATCCTTCCCTCACTCGTGAACAAGACCCCAAGATACTTGAACTCTTCACTTGAGGTAGGAACTCTCCACCAACCTGAAGCGGGCAAACCACCCTTTTCCGACTGAGAACCATGGCCTCGGACTTGGAGGTGCTGGTTCTCGTCCCAGCCGCTTCACACTCGGCTGCAAACCATCCCAGTGCATGCTGAAGGTCTCATCTGATGAGGCCAATACGACAACATCATCCGCAAAAAGCAGAGACGAAATCGTGTGGTCCCCAAACCGGACTCCCTCCGTCCCCTGGCTCTGCCTAGAAATTCTGTCCATAAAAAATTATGAACAGAACCGGTGACAAAGGGCAGCCCTGCGGGAGTCCAACATGCACCGGGAACAAGTCTGACTTACCGACAATGTGAACCAGCTCCTGCTCCGGTCGACCGGACAGCCCTTAACAGAGCAGAGGGCCCCGGACTCCATACTCCTAGAGCACCCTCCACAGGACGCCGCGGGGGACACAGTCGAATGCCTTCTCCAAATCCACAAAGCACATGTGGATTAGTTGGGCAAACTCCCATGAACCCTCCAGCACCCTGGAGAGGGTATAGAGCTGGTCCAGTGTTCCACGACCGGGACGAAAAACCACACTGTTCCTCCTGAATCCGAGGTTCTACTATCGGCCGAATTCTCCTCTCCAGTACCCTGGCATAGACTTTACATCCATACATGCCCCTGTTGGAACACACCCTCCGGTTCCCCTTCTTGAAAAGAGGGACCACCACCCCGGTCTGCCAGCCCAAAGGTACTGTCCCTGACCGCCACGCGATGTTGCAGAGGCGTGTCAGACAGCCCCACAATATCCAGAGACTTGAGGTACTCAGGGCGTATCTCATCCACCCCCGGTGCCTTGCCACCGAGGAGCTTCTTGACTACCTCGATGACTTCAGCTTGGGTGATGGACAAGTCCACCTCCGAGCCCTCAGCCTCTGCTTCCTCAATGGAAGACGTGTCGGTGGGATTGAGGAGATCCTCAAAGTATTCCTTCCACCGTCCGATGACATTTCTGTAGTTTTTTGTGAAAAAATGGAAGATAGCTTCAATGAATAGCTTTGAATTAATACTTAGCATTTCATGTATGCAAAATACTCTTATTTAACTTTAAAAAAAATACTTTTTAAAAACACCCTTGAAGGTACAGCATGTTTGGAAATGACATAGAATAAATATATTAACTGATCAAGCAATATTTACCTTGATTTTTTTTCTTTTGTTCTTGATGAAAATTTAAATTGCCTCCATATCCAACATTTCCATAGAAACCACCTAAACAATCATTCACACAAACTTTTTAAAGGGACATTACAGTGTTGTGGTGGAAATGACACCAATACTGTGCGACAGCTATATTTTGTATAAAAAAGTAATATTGATAGTGGTCTCACATGAAATACCATAATGTATTTTAATTATTTTACTAGTGCTTAATTTAGGTATATTAATAATACAGATAAGTATTTTTAAACTGTATTTTCATTGTTGAAGTTAAAAAGTCTGGGTGTGCAACAAGGAGAAAACAGTGATTTTAACACCTATAAGGAGGTTGAAAAGTATGAAAAAATCATAATAGAAAGGTTCTAAAAAGTTTTTTAAGGTGGTTTTATTGTTGGTTTGACAAAGAAAGAGGAATTTGTCCAAAATTATATGTATTTTTAAAAATATGACCAAAGTTCATAAAAGTGCCCATAGTCTAAGAATCACCCATTTATATACACACACATACAAGTATAATTTAGTAGGCTATCTATAATAGTATATTTACATTGTATAGCAAGTAGCCTATAATTTAGCAGTGGGGGTCTGCTAGGAGAAAAGTTTGCAGTCACGTCTTTCGGCTAATGGTGAAAGTTGAATAGATAAGGATCTATGCTGAAAACATGAGGGCTGCCAGTTCAAGAGGGGAAACACAAATAGGCAATTTGAGACAGACTAAACAAGACATTTACCGTAAGGTTTCTTATATCTGGCTGTTTAGACTTTGGATGAAAGCCAATGGACAACTTACAAACATTCTATTCAGTTACAGTTAAGTCACAGTGTTTTATTAATCAATTAATTGTTTATAATGAGATATTATACCCCACATCACCAAAACATTTTTTTTTTACCATAATAGTAATACTGCAATACACTTCCTCAAACTCCTCATACGCTTGTATAACCATCATTATAAATGTTCTCTAATGTTATTGTGGTTGTTCTTGTTTGTAATTATTATTTTATCATTTATTTTACATTTATACCTGCAGTGCTAGGTACATTTCTCACAAATTGTTGCAGTTACTGATTCCAAATTACATGACAAAAATTGTATCTAGATTACTTGTTTTAGGTAATGTAATCTAACTACTTTATGATTACTTTTTAGATTACTTTTAAACTAACTTATCACATTGATTTGAAAAGGATAATCTTGTACCATATTGATATAAAAATACAAAGAGAAAGATTACATTACCTCAGAGTTTCACAGACTGGGGGTTTGTGATGGAACTGCAGGTTTGTGAGTTTAATGAAAATTAAATCATAAAGAAATTAAAAAATGTTGTGTGACCAATAACCGACGGCGACATCAGAGAACTGTGAACTTAATTTTATTTTTATTTATTATTATTATTATTATTGAGAATTTTATTATTGACCTAACTTATTAATATAAAATTTCAGGGGGTACTTCAAGTAGGCCTAAATATATAGAAAAAAAGAGGTTCAGCTGACAAAAAAGTTTGGGAATCCCTGCATTGCATATAAATATGAAATGACATGAACTTGTACACTTTAATGTGTTTGAAAGACAAAAGCCTTCCAAAGACAAAGTAATACATGGTTAAATGACTCATATAGAGTGATAATTCAAATAATAATTTATGTGTTTGTTAAGAGCTAATTAAATATCCCAGCTGATATGCAATGATAAAAAAAATATTCTAAAAAGTTTGTGTAACCAAATTCTAATTAATTTAATTAAAATGATCCTTGTGTGTTAGTGTAACCATATTAGCAGTAAAGCTCATTCTGATTTTATCTTCAACGTAAAAGCCCATCCTTGAGTAAGAGAAAATAATATTTGGCAGGCAGTGTTAAAATGTTAAATAGTGTTTCTTACAGGGTACACTCAATGAAAAGGTCAAACTAGCATTGCTGACCAACCGATCATACAACCAAAATTAGCCTAAGTGAAATAAACTTACTTTGCAATATTGAGTCTACTGGTGGAGTAGCTCACATGTTTGAAATATGCACATAAGGGGGCGCTGCAATAGAAATGACTGATTTTACGCTCACTGCACCTATTAGAAACCGCTGTTCTCCTTTGCCAATAGAAAAGGCCCAAGTCTAATTGACAGTTAGGACAACCAATCATATGCCTTCAACATCACATTTGCGTACTCTCTAACCAATCATACTTCAATGGGTTGTGTTAGCTCACATAACGCTTCCTTCCTTGTTTCCAGTATGGCTTTGCACTATACGCATGTGATATTTATTTAGGAAATTATTTCATGCGTTTCAACAGTTAATGTGCAAATTCGGGCTTTAAGCCACTTCGGTGTTTTACATTTAAACGTTCACGATGGGTTTACTGACGATCTTGAAGAAAATGAAGCACAAGGAGCGTGAAATGCGTCTACTGATGCTGTATCTTTTCATAGAACTGAATTCAAATGTTTATTTTACACCGCTGTTGTTTTTAAATGTTTGTATTTTTTATAACGTGTATATAATCAGCTTACTCTATTCACGACTGACGATTACTCAAAAAGGCTAGTTTAATGTAAAGTTCTTATCGCTTAGTGATACAGAAGACTCTTGTGGGCCCTTAACCGTTCTTTTATAGTGGACTTGACAATGCTGGAAAAACAACCATCCTAAAGAAGTTCAACGGCCAAGATGTCAGCACGATCTCCCCAACATTAGGCTTCAATATAGAGACGCTTGAGCATAGAGGGTAATATGACGGAAACTAGTTGCATGTTATGTAACGTTAGTTTTGCATCAGTACGAAGTTGAGGGCGTCATAAAATACTTTTAACTTATTAAAGGTCTCTGTTGATTGTTAATTTAACTAATTGTTTAATATGTGTATAAACAGACTGTTTATTTACCACTATCACTGTGATGCATTTCAAATAATTCCCAAGTGCAATGTCTTTGTTTCTGTCTCATTTTGTTCACATTGAGACTAGGTTTAAACTGAATATCTGGGATGTGGGTGGTCAGAAGTCATTGAGATCATACTGGAGGAATTATTTCGAGAGTACAGATGGACTGGTGTGGGTAGTGGACAGCGCTGACAGATTGAGACTGGAGGACTGCAGGAAAGAGCTGAGTACTTTATTACTAGAGGAGGTGAGATGAACAATATCTTTACTTGGACCTAATAATGTCTTACAGTGTTTGAAGTTAAATGGATGAATAAAATGTAATGTGTAAGTCTATCTCGATACACTTCATATTACATGGGTTTGATTACTTTTATATTATTCCTTTTGAAAGCGATTAGCAGGAGCCACGCTGTTAGTTTTTGCCAACAAACAGGACTTACCTGGTTCTTTATCAAAAGATGCCATTCGAGAGGTGAGCCTTCAGTTAAACGGACACAATCATTTGTAATTGCATGAACCTGACTAGCATAACAGGTCACAACTGTAATTAGTGAATATGGCCTTGTTTTCTGAATTTTCTCTGTGCAGGTCTTAGCCCTTGATGACATCAAGACCCATCACTGGTGCATTGTGGGATGCAGTGCCGTGACAGGCGAGAACCTGCTTACAGGTGTGGACTGGCTGCTTGATGATATAGCAGCTCGGATCTTTACAGCTGACTGATGGACTGATAGTTAACACATTTGGCAGATAATGGACCCCCCAAAAAAGGATCTTTTTGGACTGCAAATGTTTGCAATACAACTGTATCTTAAACGTTTAAGATGGTTTATGTAGATGTATTACCAACAGGCTTTGTAATTTTAAAAGCCAAAAGCTGCTTGCCTGAAATGGAAGCCATTTTGAAGTCGTTTGTGTACTTTTCAGTGCCATTTGTTCAGCTGCATAAATAAAGATGCATCACATCTGCCAACAATACTCATTTCTGCCTTGACAAACCTGGTTATTAAAATTGCTGCTTACTCCTGAAGTGATTAGAGTAGTGCTGTTTTTATATTAGTTCTGGAGGGTGGCTGCCTCTCAACTAGACAAATATCCATGAACAATTTAATTTGGACTTTGTCCCATCAGAACACTGAAAGCCATTTAAAGGGTAGTATAATCTCATGATTTCAGGTCAGTTTGCTGCATTTTACACTGCTCCTTTAGTTCTAATCTATTATTAGACAGACTTAAAGGGTCAGTTCACCCAAATATTAAAATTCTGTCAGTAATTACTCACCCTCATGTTGTTCCAACCCCATAAGACTTTCATTCATCTTTGGAACACAAATTAAAATATTTTTGATGAAAACCGAGAGCTGGCTCACTCTTTAAGCTGCAGTGTAATTGATATATGCCAGCACAGAAAAGTTAAACTCACTCAGAGGCCCACACAGAAAAAAAAGGGTTAGTTGAAGAAGTTATTTTTGGCACACAAAAAGTATATGTCACTTGATAAACTTAAGGTTGAGCCACTTGGACTATTTTAACCCTCTGGGGTTCCTCATTTTAGACTCACACTCAGGACCTTCGGGTCAAAAATGACCCAGAGGGTGGCATTAAGATACATTTTATTTGAGCAAAATCAATTAAATATATTTTTGTTCAATAATATTTTTTCTTTTCTTTTTTGGTGTTTTGAGATCATTTTATAATTTATAATTAATATTTATGCAATAATTAAGACCCATTTTTTCCCATTGAATATAATAGAAAATTTATATATATATATAATTAAAAAAAAAATTTATTAAAGCTGTATTTCATTTTAGAGTCAAGTCTAGACCTCATGAAAGCAAATTTTGAAATGAGATCGAAGCCATCTGGTGGACACACTGAGCATTTTTATCACGCAATAGCACATTTTTACCACTAGTGGATTTACAGCTCTCTGTAGAAACCTATGGTAGAAACACTCTAGTGATTTTTTCACATAGTTTAATTTTTTCAGGTTTTTGATTTGAATATATAACAGATTCTCAAAGACTATATTTGTCTTTTTTTTTTAAATAAAAAAAAAATAAAAAAAAATTGGTTGGTTTAAATGGTAATTTTAAGTGGCAGTTTTACTTAATACAGTCAAACCTGAACATTGCATTATAAAGAGAACAAATGGAAAAAATTGTGTCACCCATTGTTTTAAGAGATTCACCCCTTCACTGTTGTGTGCTTTTTTTCTGCATCCTGGCTGTTTTGTATGCACAAAAAAACTCTGTATTTTCACATTTTTGCCAATTTCCCATTCATTTCCTATGGAGGTAATTTTTGACCCGAAGACCCTGAGTTTGACTTTTTTTTACGACCACTTAGACTTTTAAAATCCTTTCCCCAATTTTTTTGGGTGTTCATATACCAAGTACCAAAAAAGTCACCAAGTTTTGGACCATTCCGATGAAGCTACGATTAACATTTTATTTAAACGCTTCGGGTCATTTTTGACCCGAATAACCCCAGAGGGTTAAAATGTCTTTACTAACTTTTCTGGGCTGGCAGATATCAATTAGCTAGCAGCACCATATGAAGGCAAGAGCTTCTTCAAAAATCTTAATTTGTGTTCCAAAGATGAACGAAAGTCTTACGGGGTTGGAACATGAGGGCGAGTAATTACTGACAGAATTTATTTTTGGGTGAACTCTTAATATCATACACACCAAAAACATGAATTAATAAAATTTTGTACCTCAGCTTAGTACATTTTACAAAAAAAAAAAAAAAGCATTTTATTGCTGGTTCATGTTGCCTAAATCATTCTTGAACAACCTTACTGTAAAGTGTCACTTTACCAATTAGTTTACTAAAAATAACCTGATACAAACATTCAAAAGATTAAGACTAATTTGAAATTGTCAATCCATTTATTTAAAAACCACTGAATACATGCCAACAAATGGAGACATATTTCCAAGAAAACAATATATCAAGTGATTTAATTACAGAGTGTACAAAGTGGGTGTCACCCATTTATATTTTCAGTCTTAAACATGCCATTCAGTCAACACTTCAAATACAACAGATGTACAGTAGGAATTAGGAGGAAACATCAAGCTGTCATCCACAATTCAACTTCTCCCCAGATGCTTTTTAACTGACCTGGGAGAAAGAGGGAGGTCAGTACATGGGGCAATAAATAAAATAACCCATACCCAACTCTTGTGCAACAATTAAAAGCACAAGAAAAAAATTAAGATTAACATGAAGTATGGATCAGAGGGTATACCAATCTGTCATGACTTTTCAGACTGGGGCGGTAGTTACTCATCACATCCATGCTAATGGGTACAAATATGAATTTTAGTTACCTCTACATGACATCATCCTTAATCAGCAAGGCATGGAACCACCTGAAGGAGAGAAAAGAGGGGGGGATGGGAAGTCAGTACAATTCAACCTAAATGAAGTTATTCAGAGGTACTGATTTATCAGAGTCAATCAATCAGTCATGACACATCAGACTGGGGCGATAAGAAATCATCATTTAAAATAAATGCACAATAAAATCTGAAAGTACAAACCTTTAATATCTACAAAACACCAGCATCTGCCATCTGGAGGAACCACCTGAGGGAGAGAAAAGAGGGGGGGGATGGGAAGTCAGTACAATTCAACCTAAATGTAATTATTCAGAGGTACTGATTTATCAGAGTCAATCAATCAGTCATGACACATCAGACTGGGGCGATAAGAAATCATCATTTAAAAATAAATGCACAATAAAATCTGAAAGTACCAACCTTTAATATCTACAAAACACCAGCATCTGCCATCTGGAGGGACAGTAGCAACAATTAAACAAGGAAAAATTAAGAAACAAAGTATGGATCAGAGGGTATACCAATCTGTCATGACTTTTCAGACTGGGGCGGTAATCACTCATCACATCCATACTAATGGGTACAAATGAATTTTAGGTACCTGTACACAGGACACCATCCTTAATCAGCTAGGCATGGAAGCACCTGAGTGAGAGAAAAGTGGGGGGATGGGAAGTCAGTACAAGTCGACTTAAATCAGTACCTTTGTATCATTACATTTATCAGAGTCATCAATCAGTCATGACACATCAGACTGGGGCGATAAGAAATCATCATTTAAAAAAATAAAAACGCAAAAGCTAAAACAAGTTCAAACCTTTAATGTCGACAAAACACCATAATGTGACATCTGGGGCAACCTGGAAGGACAGTGGCAACAATTAAAGCATAAGGGAAAAAAGCTAGACATGAAGTATGGATCAGAGAGTATACCAATCTGTCATGAATTTTCAGACTGGGGCGGTAATCACTCATCACATCCATACTAATGCATACCAATAAGCATTTTAGAACAAATTTAAATGAAACCAATTGAGGTTAGTGGACTACCATTCAGTCAGATAAATCAGAATGGGGCGGTAATCTTATGAATCACACCTACATGTAATTAAAGTCAAAAACAAACACATACCAACTTCAGTGTGAAGTGGGTCCAGAACTTCCAGGGGATGGGTACAGAACGGCCATTGTAGTCCTGCATGGAATCAGAACTAAATTTATCACAAAAAAAGGAAAACGTTTCTCTACATTAAAACTAGTCCTTCTCAGACTGTTGGTAACCCCAACAGATCATCCCCTTATTGCCAAGGCAACACCAGTGGGTTCACCTTTTCAGGTTCTGGTATTGTCAAGGCGTAAGACTTGCGCAAGTTACATCATAAAAGGACTACAGGCTTGCAACATTACATATTTGGGATTGAATTCTTACCCATTTGGACAACTTCAGGTGCCACTCATCTGAAAAAGAAAATCAAAAAGAAAACTTCAGATGGGTGAGTTCCACATGTGTAGAGACAAATGCTAGTTCTGTAACATCAGTACAAGATGTACATTTATCAGCAGGACTTCAGACGAACGAGACTGCAAGAATCATCATAGGTTACAGAGGGAATTGACCATTGAAAAGGTGCAAGTTAATTAAAAAGGGACCATTTGTAGTGGGATTTGATATAGGAAGCACATTCTTACCTGTTGAGAATGCTTCAGGTGTGCAGCCTGTCAGGAGCAAAAACAAACCCGAGCGTCATTTGATGCACAAACAACTCAAAAATAGATAAAACATGTAGTGTAACGTCAGTAATAAGATTTATCAACAGGGTTTCAGACGAACGAGATTCCAATAAATCATCATTAGTTACAGAGGGACTGCATATTAAGCACATGGGAGTAGGAAATAACCTTACCTACCACCAAAGGACTCCACACTTAGTCTTGGACAAACCATAGTCCTGAAGTGAAAAGAGGTGATGTCTGACAGTTTTAAATTGCTTCATCTGTGAAAGAAAAAAAAAGAAAAAACTTCAGATGGGCAAGTAACACAAAAGTGTAGACACAAATGATAGTTCTGTAACATCAGTACAAGATGTTAATTTATCAGCAGGACTTCAGACGAACGAGACTGCAAGAATCATCATACGTTACAGAGGGAATTGAGCATTAAAAAGGTGCAAGTTAATCAAATAGGGACCATTTGATATAGGAAGCACATTCTTACCTGTTGAGACCACTTCAGGCGTGCAACCTGTCATGAAAAAACAAACCTGAGCATCATTTGATACATAAACCACTTAAAATAGATAAAACGGTGTAACGTCAGTAATAAGATTTATCAACAGGGTTTCAGACGAACGAGATTCCAATAAATCATCATAAGTTACAGAGGGACTGCATAGGGCTGCACGATTTGGGCCAAAATGATAATCACGATTATTTTGATCAATATTGAGATCACGATTAATTATCACGATTATTTGTTGATTTTAACCAAAACAAATGTTATTGTCACATAGGCTAATTATAACTGCTTTCACATTATGCTACATTCCTGCTAATGTACAACTATGTGCATCAAAATAAAACAGGTCCTCTTATTCACCAAAATTCAGTGCATCTCTTTAAAGAATAAATAAAAACAAATAAAACAATAAAGAAAATGTAGCAAAACTTCAACAGGGCACTATTTTAGATTGTGTAAATATAAAATAAAAATATAAACTTGCATTGTACCTGCATAATGGATGTGAATAAAACGCACAAAATATACAATCAATAAAAAACAAATATTCCATAACAGAATGTAACCAAATGAGAACATTTCAAGGCAGAACTAAGCACTATGGAAGTTCGATTAATGGATGAAATTCAGAGTCATTGTTATTTGACGCTTAAGAAATGTAAAATGTTGTGGTACAGTGTCAGTGATTAGTCTTACTGCATAAATTGAATCTTATTTAATCCTCCAAAGTTTATGTGCTTGAATTATTTCTACTTATTAAACAATAGTTCAAAACAAGAGTTTGTAGTACTGATTATTGGAGTCCATTAATCGAACTTTCATGCCTCTTATATAGTAATTATATATTAATATGTAGTATGTATGTACCAATTTACTAATGCTCACACTCGGTCTCTCACGCGCACCGTCACTCGGTCTCTCTCGCCCGCTGTCGCTCGTACGCAGACACACTCGGTATCTCTCGCGCACTTTCGAACGCGCTCTTGGACACTCGGTCTCTCGTGCACTGTCGCTCGCGCGCAGACGGTCTCTCGCGCACTCGGGCTCATGGAGGCACGTGATCAGACAGTGGTTTACGGAGCGCTAGATTGGCTTTACAAAAAAAAAAAAAAAACCTTTGATACGGAGTGTTCTGTGAATGTAATGACGCATTTTAAATATCGCTCGGTCACGCGAATTTGATCGTGGGAAGCCAAAATCGCGATCGTGATTAAAATTCCATTAATCGTGCAGCCCTAGGACTGCATATTAAGCACATGGGAGCAGGAAGTAACCTTACCTACTACCACCAAAGGACTCCACACACTTAGTCTTGGACAAACCATAGTCCTGAAGTGAAAACAAGAGGGGTTATATCTGACAATTTCACACAATTAGAATAGTAACAAAATCCATCAATCTCTCAGTTGTTCGTTACTTTTCACGTGGGTTCAAAGTGAGCTAAGTATCTTCATCACAGAGATTGGACAAAAATCAAGCTATATAAACAATAAAATTACCTTTGAAATATGTTAGTCCTTGGTGAAAGGCCATTTTGTGCATACGTCACCTAAAACAAAGTTTCTGACATTATTTAGTTTACAAAAACAAAACCACCATGTTAAACCGGTTCTGATCAGGGCTTTGGTGACTAATGCCATAGAGCAATAATGCTGTCCAGATATTAAGTGGTATAAACCATTCATCCTCTCAGACTATTTAAGCAAACACCACTTAAAAAAAGAAAGCTCACCTGAATGTCATTATGACCATACTATGGCCACCAGGACAAGTTGAACCACCTAGACAGATAACAGGCACCATAAGCACAGAATTCAGCAAATATGGTTAAGTCAGACTTTGGTGACTAGAATGCCATGACAAATCAGTCAACTTATTACATTGTAAAAACTTAGAGTAGTTCACTTGTAAAAAAACTTTTGCTGATAATTTACTCACCCCCATGTCATCCAAATTGTCCATGTCTTTCTTCAGTCGTAAAGAAATTAAGGTTGATGAAAACATTCCAGGATTTTTCTCCATATAAATGCACTTTACTGGGCACCAAACGGTCCAAGGTCCAAAAGACAGTTTCAGTGCAACCTGCAAACTGAAAGGGCTTTAAATGACACCAGACGATGAATAAGGGTCTTATCAAGCGAAACGATCGCTCATAAAAAAATAAAAAAAAAACGTTTAAGTTTTATAAGCTCACATGCCCGCCTTGCTCGGTTCTGTGTGACTCCTGTTCGAACTCGTTCATCAAAATGAACAAATCTTTTTTCGAGTCATTGGATTCATTTAACGACCGAAATGAACGAATTGACTCGGAAAAAGATTAGTTCATTTTGATGAACGAGTTCGAACAGGAGAGTTACACAGAACAGAGAAAGGCGAGCATGTGAGCTTATAAAACTTAAAAGTTTTTTTTTTTTTTTTAATGAGCGATCGTTTTGCTTGATAAGACCCTTATTCATCGTCTGGTGTCATTTAAAACCATTTGAACAGTTTGCACTGAAACTGTCTTTTGGACCTTGAACCATTTGGCTACCATTGAAGTCCATTATATGGAGAAAAATCCTGGAATGTTTATCAAAAACCTTAAATTCTGTTCGACTGAAGAAAAAAAAGACATGGACATCTTGGATGACATGGGGGTGAGTAAATTATCAGCAAAAGTTTTTTATAAAGTGAACTAATCCTTTAATCACTTCAGAATTGTGAAACAAATTGAATTTTTGGAAAACCACTTACCAATACAGCATCCATGGACAACGTACACAGTTCATGTGCAGGCAACCCTAAAATACAATTAATATTTTTAAAGCTACAATAGGGTAGTGATGACTGAGCCCAAGTCACCCACGTTGTCAGAATAAAAAGGCAGACATCACTGGAATTCAGACATATGCTTGTCTTTGAAATCATCATTTAAGGGTTTAGCCTAAAAAAAGGACCCTCATTACTTGAAAACTTACCTTTAATTTAACAGGCCTCTTCCTCATCCTAGCAGACTGTGTGGAAACTGCAAAAAAAGCCCACATTTCACAAATACTAAAACTAACAAAAAGAAACACTTGGCAACAGCCTGCTACTCAGTTTAGAAATATTACACAACTATTTAGGAAGAGAGAATTCAAAGTCACAATAGTACTACTGGATGCCTAAAATTTCAATAGGGATGTAACTAAACTGAGCACAAGCCACCCACATTATGTCAGAAAATAAAGGCAAACATCATTGGAATTCAGATATATGCTTGTCTTTGTAATCATCATTTAAAGGTGTAGCCTTAAAAACAGGAACTTCAATACTTGAAATATTTACCTTGAATTTAACAGGCCTCATCCTCATCCCAGCAGACTGCATGATCGCTGAAAAAAAAAAAAAGTAAAAAAAATTATAAGGCTTACATTTACAAATACTAAAAACACTTGTCAATCTGTAATAGATGCGCAATGTTACTCAGCTTAAAAAAAGGTTACAAACAAAGCAATTAAGGAACAGAGAAGTCATAAGCCAAAGTAACACTGAATGCATAAATTCATGCACTCTGTACAAAGGCCACAGGGTGTGGTAGACAAAAATAAGGCCTAAACCATACTAATAGTATCCTAGATACTTATATTTTAGCTCTCCTTAAATTTAAGTTCTTAAGCATGAATGGTTATAAAACATGTAACATGCACTGATCTTTTGGGATCAACTTTCGTTATGTCACACTTGTATTGATTGAATTCCTTAATCAGATCCACGTGCAAGTGTTAAAGTTTGCTCTAAACCCCATTCAATAATGAAAATGCACTACACTTATAAGCAGGACTCCATGTAACATTTTACATAACTTTAATGCCATTCATTCAAATAAAAACTGGCCAAAATTAATTAAACTGTCAATATGTCGATCTCTACCATGTTTGCTTTAGTAAGTGTACCTACTATAGAACTTACCTACGATGTCAGGGACTTCATGCTCGTCGTGGCCATTGCTGCAAAAGAACAGACGTAGTTGAGACACGTGTTGTCATGAAACTTTCACAACGCGCAAGATTTACGAATACAACTCAAACGAAAATCTCTCTTCAGATATATAAAAGTGCAATCACATTGTTTCAGAACAGGTCTGTGGAAGTTATCATCATTGAGAGATCGTGCCATAAGCGAAAAAAGCAGACCAACAGTAAATATTTTGTAATTGCGAAACAGTATCAAGCAAACTTTAATAAAAAGTAGTAAAATTACAACTAATAGCAATAAGTGAGGCAGGATGGTTTCAGATGCGATTCTGAGGCTCATGGGCTAATGGATTGCAAACACTCCGCAGTTGTCTGCTAAGGCCCACTATACAGAAATAAACATTTAAATGCATACTAACAAGGAAGAGCTGACTATCTATAATTTAGACCCTCTTTAGAAAAAGGCGTTTTTTAAAAAATAAAACTACACTTCAGTTTACAAAAAACAGTAAAAAAAAAAAAAAAAAAACACTTACCAATGAAGAAGCTGCTGCAAAATGGACGAAAAGGAGGTCTGGGCGCTTTTTATTCTTGTCACATGTGAAAGTACACGCCCATTTTACAACAACCAATAAGGTTACTGATTATATTAAAAGCGCCAGTATACATTTTTGCTTGTGCATTAAAATAAAAATAAAAAAATGGATACACTGTAACTGCTCAAAATGTAGATGCAAAAGATGTTTATTCTAGTGCACATAATGCACATTTTAAATAGCAAAATAATAAATGCAGCAGATATATACTGAGAGGCAGAACAATGTAGGCTACTTATTTGAACGTATACGAGTATCACATATCGGTAAGTATAGTTTTAGAACTAGTGCGTTTTGTTGCATGATAATTTGTAAAGTAGATGATAATCATCTCTTTCTCAATCACTCTTTTTTTTTCAAGCTTCACATTTTCCACTAGATGGCATCATATCTGCAGCGATACAAGCGTAGGGTAACATGGGGAAACTGCCTTCTCCCACCTTACCTTTTTTTTCCTGACCATAGATGACACAAAATCACATCTCCGCACTTTTGATGAATGGCTACGCTATTTTTAATTTTGTAATTTCATCTGAATATCAACAATTGTGAAATTTAGTTAGCCAAAACAATTTTGAGTTCAATTGATCTAATTTTGTGTCTCTGGAAAATAGTGACCTATGACATTGTATTATATTGAATATCAAAGTTTTTTGTGTCTGTTTGTTAATGAGCTATTTGTGGACACATTAATGTTTTTAGATTTGTGGAGTAACAGTTATAGTTCTTTATTATGAACTAGAAAGATAAAATTAGACCCTTGGGGTAAGATGACCCCCCAGAATTGGCACAGAAGGCCCAAAGTGGCATGTTGTTATTTTTAAATGAAATCATTATTGTAATTAATGGGGTTATTATTCAGAATTTCCATGAATTAGATTTCAGACATCTTCGCTTACATTAAAACCTATAGGTTAGTTGAGTAAAATAATTCTATTTGCATATGTTTATTGTTATTATGTTATTATGACATATATCTTCAATTAAAATATTGGCAATTGAATATGTAAATATTCATATGCCTATGTAAGTCACAGAATAATTTTACCTTTAAGATTAATCTCTATTCTGCTTTGTCCGTCAACGTTTATTCAATTAAACTAAATTGTCAAAATTAAATTTTAAATAGAATAGTTGATTTAGTATTTAATAATAAATAAATAAAAATGTTACATTTAGATAGCGCTTTTCTCTGCACTCAAAGTGCTTTACATAGAAGGGGGGAATCTCCTCAACCACCACCAATGTGCAGCATCCACCTGGATGATGTGACGGCAGCCATAGTGCGCCAGAATGCCCACCATACACAGCTTACTGGGAGGTCTCCCATCCAAGTACTAACCAGGCTCAGCCCTGCTTAGCTTCAATGGGCAACCAGTCTTGGGCTACAGGGTGATATTGCTGCTGGCATATTTTACAGGAATTACACTTTTATATATACAGTATATATATTGATATGGTTAATTCATCACACTAATGGAAGGTCAAATCAGACGCATTGCAATGTGGAATACCCCAAATGACCTAAATGACTTTTGACAAAATTCTTATTAATATATATATATATATATTAATAAGAATTTTGGTCAAAAGTCATTTAGGTCATTGGGGTATTCCACATTGCAATGCGTCTGATTTGACCTTCCATTAGTGTGATGAATTAACCATATCAACCACAATGTTAAACACTTTCTTGACTCTATTGCCATAGAATAGCATAATACTCCTCTTTTCAAAACAATACTTTTATACAGAATCAAGTAACACATGTTGAGTTTTTTTTAACTTTTCCTTTTTTATTAGCATTGATGTGATGTCACTATGCAAATAAAACAAGACATTACCAAACAAAAACTAATTTCACTTAGGCCTATGTGACATTAGGAAACTGGGTTATGTAGGTAAGATACAGAAGATAAATACATATACAGAACACAAAATCCATCTCTTAGCTCAGTTATTTATATACTTCACTGCCAGTGATGTTGTACCTGTTGATGGCTTTCTTTTTTATCTTTGAGCTCCCAGATTAGTTTTAAGAGTTAACCCTTTGGTACATAGCCTTGAAGAATACATTTTCATGGCCAAAGTACATGAACTCTGTTTCTGTTCACAGCTCCAAAATGTTATTGCATCCACACACAAACACAAACACACACACAGAAAACAACTTTCCATGGATAATAATAGTATAGGCATCATGTTTCCTAACAAGGGAACAAAGATCAGGTACACGCCTCATTAGTTAGTGCTGTGATAACAAATTCATACACTGATAAAAAGTTCAAATATTGACCTCTCATGTCAGGTTACATAATGATCAGTTTTATGCAAAGAACAACAATGCATATTAAATATTTGAGCACATTTCAATTAATAAATGAAATTACTCATCAATTTGAAAGAAAATACAAGTCACTCTGTTCAACTGAATTCTGCTAAAACACGATTCCTGTTCAATTCAGTTGTGTCTGCTGGTGTTGATGAAGAAGAGGTTGATGAGATAGGGGTCAGCGTCACACTGTACAGATTGGCAACGAAAGTCTCCCATCCTCGACGGAAAGCTCTGTCCATGGCCTAAAAGTGAAATAAATAATAAAGTCAATTAATCACAGAAAACAATATCCTTTATATAATATGAACATGCATCATATTAGAAGTTTGTTTACTGCAGGGTCATTGCTCTGAAAGGAAGAATGTGCCCTTATTGGCTAAACTAAAATACATGGAATGTATGTGAAGTGACGGGGTCGTTTGGTTATTTGCAGACATTCCTCCAAACAAGGTCACCTTTGACTGAAAAGAGTTGTTGTTCCTGTATTGCTTGATTCTTTCCTCTGACCAGGTGCAAACAGAAAACGGATAGTGACGTAAGTTAACAGATGGATCAAGAAACTGACTAGGCCTAATAAAACAAGGGGGGTGGGGTACGGACATACATGAAGCTATTAGTGCTAGGGTGGACCATAACCATGGGGTGATGGACTCTGGCAGAACTCAACAGACTGCTTATTTCAGCACAATTCAGAGAAAGGAACTTTAGCCCAGATGCCCCTCCAAAACATTTTCACTCTCCAAACCATAGATGGTTCTCTTTCATCTACTCAACTCAAGTGACGGAAAAAGCTATCCAATATGTGGCCTTATGGGGTCTAACAACAATAGGCTAACAAACAAACAAAAATATGTAAACAATTTTTTTAATATATTTATAAAACAGTGAGCAAACGCATGATTTGTATATTTATCTACACGTTGTTATGTACAGCCAATCATTAACCATAACTTTAAGTCTCACCTTGTTGTGTTTGATTCAATAACAAGAACCGACTCATAAGAGTCATTTGTTCGATGTAAGCTGGTTGCGCGCATGTTTTTATTCACTAAAAAGAACCGTAGCGCTGTCGCGGCGCCACTGAACAAGAACTCTGTCTGTCAGGGTATTACGGTATTCTGTCCGCATCGAAGAATGAACGTGAGAACCGCTAACGAAACGAACCCGCCCCGAACGTCATTCAGTAGCTACCGGTTCTTTATTCTTACCTTGTGATAATTCTTGAGAGTGTTCCTCTTTACAATTTCCATTGCCTCTCCTTTCAATTTGCCTTCTGTCTTCTTCTCTTTTCTTGTGTCTTCCATTTCCCCTTCTCCTTCCTTCTTCCCTGATATTAGAATCTGGTCATCAGCATGTTCCCTTATGGAGAAATGGACCATTGTTGAATCTGTTTCTCCGCTGTTTTCCAGGGTTTGGGTTGCTGGTGGCACCTCTGGGTTTAGATCTACAGAGGTGGATTTGTTGGTCTCATTACCCAGTTGTTTGTCTGATGTAAATTTGTCATATTTTGCCTTCCTGGAGCTCATCCTGCTCCAGCGGCGACTTAGTCTACTGGGCTTTCTCTTCAGTAAAGTGGTCCCATCATCATCCATCATACCCTGGTTAAAATCAACCACATGGTCATCCTCTTCAATCCAGCCTGGAACTGTCCCATTGTCTTGGCTGCTTCTGTTCAAGGCTCCTATCTGCTCTTCTGTGGGTGTGGGTTCTCCCTCCATCTGCACATCGTCTCCAAACATCTCATCCAAGCGCCCATAGAATCCATTAGCCTTGTCCAGGAAAGGAGGAGAACGAGGGGCCTTGTTCTTTTTGGAGCTCTTGCCGATAGTCATGGTCTTGAGAGATGGTAATCCAGTCTTTGCAATCTAAAGAGGAAGGAAGGAAAAAGGAAACATGTGACTTTGACGTGGTCATCTGTTGAAAATGTTGAGAAGAGGTCAGACAAATGTTTGTCATGGGAGAATTTACATAAAATTGTTCCACAACATTCCTTACATAATCAAACAAAAGAAGAAGAGGAAGAAGAGCAGCAGGCTTCCTCGAGGATACTGTCGAAATGAAGTCTACATGGCCTGAGGTTTATCTTTCCCCTCCATCCCACTGTAATGTGTGTTTATCAGTCATGTCATCATAGACACACTGTTCAAAGTTCATTCTGTGTGTATACAGCGTATCAGTAAGTTCCTATTTAGGGACAGTGTGTCTCCTAAACCAACAGACTACCCTCTGCTTTATGACTTTTTGATAAGATGAGCTCAAGTCTGTCATTGACTTTGACTCCAGTTGGTTGTGCTGGAACTGCAGCTGGTGCCGCCAAGACAGATGACTCAATATCACTCATAAATATGTCATACTTCACAGATTTAAACAGAGTAATTATTGCTTGTTTTTAATATTATTCATATAGGCCTATACAAAAGAAATGGACTGAGATTAATATTTGACCAGCAAACTTTTAGTAAAGCCTTTAACTTGCATACAGTGTGTCAAAAATGGGAACTAACAGTTTTCCAGATATATATAATAGGCTACTTGATATATAAATCAAGCAAATATTTTAATTTACAGGCCGTGCTGAAGACTTCAACTCTTTGGAAATGGTGCTATTTTCTCATATTCTCAATGCTGATTTGAAGGTGTCTTATTTACATATAAGTCGAGCTGTTTTTTACTAAAAGCCTTTTCTGTTTAGAAGAAAGGGAACTGACTTACTTCAGCGTTCAGAGTTAACCAAGTCAGAGTATATATAATTTGGTATTATAAATGATAGTTTACAGTTTACACATAAAAAAAAAAAAAAACCTGTATTTTCCTCTATACATCAAATGTATTATTTTTCTTATTCTTATGTGTAAACTATCATTTACCCTATCCCAAGCTCAAGGTTGCTTCACAATAAGCTTAACACATTCATGCATTTAAAGAAAAAGAAACATACATAAAATGACAGAAAACACGTATTAATAGCAGTAAACATATACATAACACAAGAGCATTCAAGTTTGAACGACTTACCTGCTGGCTGTGTTCGCGTGACTCTTCTCTCACTCGCTCTTTGTGTTCTGGGCCCAACTCACCTTAATCTGACACACACAATCGTCACACTGTCTGAACCTGTCGTCATTCAAGCACATTAATTCCTCCCCCTCTCTCTCTCTCTCTGTTTCGTTTAATTAACTGAAGAAGGGAAGCAGCCTACAAAAACTACAAAATAAGTATCAGCCAACTAAGACCTAAATACACAAACAGTATCAAACTTTTACTGCTTAAGTTGTAAAGTTGTAAGTGCAAGTGTTGCCAAGTACCAATATCAGAGGTACTGACTCACCTGAGCAGGACTCTTAAATGTGTTTTTGGGGATTATTCACTGGGTGGGGAACATGATGCACGGTCAGGGATTTTCATTTCCAAAAGGAATCCTAATCCACTAAGAACACACTCATTACACATATCCCAAATGTTCTTGCTTATTTACAGGTTTTTCCTTAAAAAATGATGTTGAAATAAATAAACAGAGTAAAATAGGGCCAAGGGAGCTCAAAATACAAAAGTAACTGTGATGGAAAGAGAATGAATGTATGCCTGGAAACATTAGGTGTGGCATTTAAGACTAAGTGACTCCTACAGGGTAATACTTAAGAAAGTGCATGTACACTTGGGTATTCACATGTAATTGTACGTCGGAGTGATGTCTAAATCTGTCTTTGGATCTCATTGTGTTCTTTAAAATAGTTTAATCAACAGTAGTCATTTGAAGAATCAACTACCCTTGTGCTTACAGACAGAAAACTGAAGAAGAGTTAACGTCACTGCCCAGTGGCAATGACCCCCGAGGATATATAGAGAAACAGCTGTTTCACAGATGTGATTACACTTGAGTGTTTGGTTAAGAGGGCACAGGATTCTGTAGTACTGTTGAATCATTGTAAAGAGGGGGTTTACTGCCTGCTTATTCAATCCTTCTGGTTTCTGGGGCTCACGTGGAAACATTATTCATAGATAAAGCTGGTGAAAGACTGACAGAAAACTCATGAAAAGTTTAGGATGAATTTGTTTCAAAAACATCTGAGATAAATGCCTGAGAAAAAGATCTTTTGTTTACAGCGAGAGTCATGACATAACAGGTGGTGCTTGAACATCAAGCTAACACGTGATGCTTCAAGGGGCTTTGACATCAGGGTTGTTCACCATTCAGAAATCAATTGAGTAGGAAATTAATTCTGTTTGCTACTGCTAGTCACAAACAGAATGCAGAAGTGAAATTTGATTTTAAATTGAGGTAGATTGTTTGAAGGTTTTGAAAAGTTTGAATTAGATCAATAGATTCTTGTCATTCCAATAATTACACTGAGTGCAACAGTGTCCATCCACTTTTTCAGCTGTGTATTTCCTATTCATTTTGCCCATAAAGTTTTTTTTTTTTTAAGAGTCTTCATTGAAGAGTTATAAGCCATGAACCAAACCAGCTACGGGGTGAATCATAACATTACGAACTTTTGATTAAAGGTTAGGTAGGCAATTTTAATACATACATTGACAGGGAGGTAGGACATTGTATCTTTGCATTTAAACCGAATTCAATAATTGGACAAACATTTTATGGTCCTACGCCTTTAACGGGCCATACATATAAATACATTTAGACCACTTAACTTTGTGATTGCAATCAGGATGTGAAGAGACTTTCAACCAGCATAACACAAACATTTTCTGGAACAAATCACTAATAAGTAAATATTGCAAAATGTGCATATATAGAAATATTTTGATAGTTTAAGAATGAAGGGAGACTATTATATCATTTGCTGTGTTTCATGGGAGTTGGCGTGCGCTAAAGAGTTCAGTTTGCTTGTTGCGACTCTTTGATTGGTGGAGATGCAGTAAAGCAGTTTTTCACCAGGAATTCTGCTGTTAAACATGAATATTTCAAATAAGCTGAAATAATGCAGGCTGATTGCTTCAACAAAAGCATATACAATGTATAGAGTAGAACTGTCTTTAATAGTTTATTAGTTATCGTTAAAAATCAATTCCCTTATCCAGAAAGTGAAAGGGACCAAACTGTTGCACTATATTCAACTTCCTGTGAAGTGACCAACTCATGAATTGGAAGGGAGCCAATACTTTAATTCAGAAATGTTCACATCTTGATTGACATATTTACATTCTTACATTTGGATTCAGTAAAACAGGAAGACCTCTAAAGCATAACACAGAAAACTTTCCCAGCACATGGAATAACGAACTGTCCAGAAACTGAATTTATCCGCTTCATTCTGCTATCTACAGTTTTAACATCGCCACCAGTATGATGATGTGCATAACAACTCGAAATGTTATCACATTCTCTAAGTGTTTTCACTCTTCGTTGTTTCACAGGGTCAAGTGACATCATCTGTACTTTACACCGTGTCACCTGAAGCTTTACCAGTGCCACGTACACAACATGCCACTGGATTAAAGATAATCAAAGCATTTTGATTCAAGAGATTATTAATGGCATAAATAGACACCGTATCTGACCTATTTACATCCTCCACTTATCAGTGAAAAAAAAGTCTTTATTATCAAGACATAAGACAAGTACACCTAGAAAGACAAAGACATGGACAGCATAGGCATAATGAGTTCATATTATAATAAATATATATTCAAGCAAACCTCACACTTCTAATCTATAAATACAAGCTCATCATCTTAATGATTGATACCATATGTACAATTCCCTTTAAATACTGTTCAAGTGAACAGGTGATTAGGATGGTTTATCGGGTGCAGGATGAATTATAACAATCCATTTCCTTTTAAGCTGCAGGTTTCTTTGTGTCGCTGCATTCACCTGCACTCATCACCTCATGTCTTTGGTGTGCGAACCCAGAAATCACACTTACAGTAGTGTCTTCAGTACATTACAATTTACCTCTTGCCATTTAAATAAGAGAATCTGTTTGGCACAATGGAAGTGTGGATGTTTGGTAAAGTTCAGGCATGTTCTGAGGAGGTGGTGCTCACACCTCCACATCCGGATCTGAACCCAACCCTTGCTTCTGCAAAGCGTCTTCCCTCTTCATCTTTGGCTTCTCAGTTCGGGTGTGCCACACCAGCACCTGAGCAAGAGGAAAATCATTTCAATAGTACGTAAAGGAATAGTTGACCCATTCCAAAAAGGGTTGGGAAAAATTCAGATTTTAAGAATTGGCTCACTTTTAATTTGAGTTGGAATTTAAAATGAATTCTCCACACAGAAATTCGAATCGGAATTAGTTTAAATACCTGAATAACAATTCAGAGAAGCAGGTCATGGGATTCAGAAATTGAATTGGAATTTTGAAAGAATTCTTAATTTATTTCCAAATGTACAACCCTGATTCCAACGAAAGTGGATTTCTTCCCTTCTGCCATAGCTCTCGAAACTCATTAGGTTTGTGCATGTCACATGACTGACCATGATGTAGTTACTAAACTAGTACAATTTAAAAACATATCCGGAATCCAACTGTTGCACTATATTATTCAACTTCCTGTGAGGAACTCATGAATTGAAAGGGAGCCAATACTTTATTTTTTGTTGATTGAAATCAAATTAAATTTAAATATTAGATGAAAAATGTGAAAATTAGAAATGTGTCCTTGGCAGCTAACTGAAATAAGTGATACAATTACAAAACTAAAACAGAAATACAAATAAATGTATACTATTCAGAAATGAACAAACTAATAAAAATTACAAAAGCACATACAAATTTATTTTCATTTACAAATGTAGAACAGCTAATAAACAGTCATAAAATAAGCTAATATGCAGCAATGCTGATTAATCTCCAAACACTAGGTGCCGGATAAAGGATATACCTTGGAGCACAAGTCTGCTTTGGGTTCAAGGTCGTCCATAGTAACCAGGTGTTGAAGGAAACTACTTTCCAGGAAGCCCATCTGAGCATCACCGTCAAACCGTGCTTCGGGATTGGTCATTACCAACCTCAAGGACACTGCAAAACCAGCCATGTCCATGGGGAAAGGGCGATTGGGGCGCCAGCCAGTGTGGAAACGCACAACCTTCCCATCCTCCACCACGGGCCGCTCAAATTTCATCCCGCCCACCAGACCCACGGGCCACACAGAGACACGGTATGTGTACCGCATCTGGGGATGATAGGAAGGAGAGTGTGAATGGAAAAGAAGTATGATATAGACAAAAAAAAAAAATCAGGAGGCCTTGTGTCCATAGGCAAAGACTATGTACAGACCCAGCATGGTTTTGAGAAGGGTTGGTGTAATTGAGACTCCAAAAGAAAACATCTGTTACACCTTTTTACACCTGAAGCACAGCTCCACCTGGAGGTTTAACCTGTAAACACCCATTAAATGACTTGAGATGATCCCAAGTTCAGCTTTCATTGAAATTCTGCAAACCATTACAATACAATCTGGAACAAACTTTCACATCTGGAGAAGTTTTGCATCTAAATCTACCAATAAAAACTTTATTAGTACCATTTTCTACATATTAGAATAATAGAATTAATTAAAAACGTCATTACGATCAATGAAATAACATGAAAAGTACAGGAACTATGTAGTGATAAAATAATTTTAGTTCATTATTTATTTATTTGTTTAGATGTTTTTTTTTTTATATATATTATAAAGAAAATCACTGTAGAAACGGTTTAGATTTTCTTACAAAACTTTAGAAACACAAGGTCATCAAGTGTCCAAAAATATGACTGGTGGTAAACACTACTGTTTAAAAGTTTATAAAAAGAAAAGAAAGAAAGAAATTAATACTTTTATTCAGTACAGATGCATTACATATATTTTATTATGTTACAAAAGATTTCTATTTTCAAATACATTTTTCTTTTTAACTTTGTTAATCAAAGAATCCTGGAAAAAAATGTATTACAGTTTCCAAAAAAATATATATCAGTTTTCAACATTGATAATAATAAGACATGTTTCTTGAGCACCAAATCAGCATATTAGAATGATTTCTGAAGGATCATGTGACACTGAAGACTGGAGTAATGATGCTGAAAATTCAGCTTTACCATTACATTTTAAAACATGAAAATAAAAACAATTATTTTCATTTGTAATAATATTTC